GGTTCTACGGGGTAAAACCTCTTCAGGGAAATACGATTTTTATAAGATTGATCTTGAGCCGCCATCTAAGTATGAATACACAAGAGAATATTTTTAGTGTAGAAAGTCTCAAATTCAGCATACTATTATTATTTTAATAAGCGAACTAAGTGAAACTACACTGTAGAAACAACAGCTACAGTGGGGTACTTAAGCAGTGCATATATTCTAAGGTAATTTTGATAAATACTACTTAAAATAGTATCATTAAGGATTTTTATGTCTCAATATTGACTTATTAAATTTTGTCTCTTTGGAGTAAGTAATTTGATTAATTATTATCTATAATTTGAAAAATTATGCTGGCAGCGGGTCTCCAGTCACCAACAATAGGCGTAATTTGACAAATTATTATTAAAAGGATAACCTATCACACTAAAAGGGTAGAACTCCATAATGATGTATTTAAGAGTTAGTTTTTGTAGTTTTCTCTATATGTTGTTGGTGTTCTGAGGATAATTATAATAAATACCCATTAAAAATACATGAGTTAAAATTTTTATCATTTACTCTTAATTCATAACCTTTTTAGTTAAATAATTATACTAATAAAAGGTAGCACTAAATTCGCCATTTTTTCTTGTTCTGACGAAGCACAACGGCCCAACAACAAACGGCCATGCTTCTGTCCAACCCACAGGAAATATGGATTCAAACTCCAAACTCAGTAATATGGGCTTCAGTGTAAAACCCAATAATCGGCTGTCCAACTGTGTACAAGCCCGAGAAACTTAGGCCTGCGTAGCGCTTATGTAACCGTGAAGATTAGTTATTCATGAGCGCCAATTTTGTGTGTGTAAATGGTGCGTTTGAATATCAACTCTTTGAAAAGTATATTCCTTTAACGTGTCCAAAATTATAGTGGAAATTAGGATGGAAATTAGGGTAGTAAGACTTATAAAGTATAATTATTCACCCATATCACTTTTATATATGAATCGGATTAAAGTCTTTACAGAGAAGTGGTATATTTAAATACTGAGTGTTCCTCTAATCCACTCGAGATTCTAGTGTATGCTACACTTGCTTTTACCTACGATAGGGCACTGTATTTGTTAAATCTCAATAAAGTTATCGCATTAAATTATAACATAACCATCACAAAAGTAATTATACAAATAACCTTTATAATTTATCATAGCACGAGTTTCATCATATTTTTTAATGAAAAAAAAAAAACTTTTAGTCTACAAATCCATCCTCTCACGGAGGCAATGAAAGAACCCATTCCCCACTCACGCGCACCTCAGTGTGGTTCCCTCCTTTCCCGAGCACGACTCCACCTCCTGCGATGTTTTAGAGAAACCACCCCTCCATGCGTGGACACAGTCAACAAACCGAGCACCCCCAATCTATTTTGTTTCTTCTTTTTTAAGTTTTTGGAAATTTTTTTTTTCTTTTATTTTTTTATTATTAAAAATATAGGAAAGAAACTAGTATTTTCATAATATATAGTGATATTTTTATTATTATCGAACTTAAAAGGGAAGGGTTTGATCAAATATAATTGTCTTTATTTTTCTTTCTATGGGCAATACGATCTTGAAGCATTGATTTTGGGTCCACACTTTGCACCTAACGGAATTTCAGGTTTATACACTTCAGCTTGGCAATTTTTTTAGTAAAGAAAACAGACATTAATAGCTGTGGAGGCACAACGACTGCTCGTATACAATATTAAATTGAAGAATCCCTCTCCACATGCACCATTTTTCCAACGGAATTATAGACGTAGTTAAAGCACTTGGATACTTAAAAAAACATTTCGTATTTGTGTTAAATAATTCCCATATTCTAATGATCAAATCACGATACTTTGCAGTGACTCCTGCGCCAACCCTAAGATCCCATCAATTGTAAATAAGCAAATTGGAAGATTTGAGTAAAACCCTAAAAATAGATCGTGAGACTCCCAATAACGCAGGAACTCTTGGTCTGAGACATGGCAGGACACTTGTGAGCAAATTAAATAGCAGTGCCCAAATGGAAACAAAAAAAAAAAAGACAATTCCGTAGTATAAGCAAACTCCTTTTGTGCCTTGCCACGCCGCACAAAAAGGTTATTGTCGACCAATTTTTAGAAACTCTTGCACGTTTAACACTTCAAAATGTCAGGATAATCTAGAGACTACCTGTAGGAGACATGCTACGTCTAATTTATTTGAGGAAGTGATTGGTGAAGCAATGTGGTTCAAGAGAAAGGAATTAGCCAACAAACGGGACACTGCAGTATTCATTGTGGCAGGTGTGCGTAGGACTCGAGACCCCCTCAGATAAAGACATTTGAGTTATGGACCATTTTCTTAGGTGGTATTTGTTCTTCCAAGTCTTAAAGGCGCTGAGAAGAAAGGGCACCTAACCAGCATTTACCAACTCAGCAAAAGAAAAAACTAGCATTTACTATACCGTGTTTGACTTTTCATTAGTCTTCTGAAAAACAGAAGGCAATTAGTGTTTCTGATTAAAATAAAAATCAATCTCATTAGCAAATAATAAAGCAAGGGCGGTTGTTTTTTCTCATAAAAAAGAAAGGAAAAGCAGTGGAATCGAGCAAGTTTACTCTTGTAGACAAGAATCCAAGACGGAACAATGATTTCAAAATTCTCAGTTTACTCTTTAAATCTTTAATTGGCCACCTGACATGGCACGTTTTTAATGCCCCATCTCCGCCTATTCTACCTTCCAAGATAATGATGGAGTAACCCCCAGATCCAAAACAATAATAGCCTCCAAAGCTTCCACAAATTGAAAAGTAACTTTAATATTATGAGGAAATTGATTTGTGAACTTGCACTTTTTTTTTCGGTAGTGGTATGTTTCATTTATTAGTATGTTCATTACTTTACTTAGGAAAAGAGCTCAAAATTGTTTCTTTCTGAATTAATGGGATTAAAAAATGACGTTGTTTTGATAGCAAACAGTAACATTTATTCACATTTCCCAAACCAACAAAAAATTGGTGCACGCAAAACTTTTCTACACCCAACAAGATATTAGAGAAATTTCATGAGAAGCAAAAAACAAAGAACATGCCCCCATGTGTTTCCGCAATTATTTTAAAGGCAATTTGGCTTGGGTGTTTGACAACTAATCATGCACCCAGACATAAAAAGTAAAATCTTTATACATTTTGCAATTTTGCAATGCTGGAAGGGACATGATGAGGCTGTGTCGCTCATGCAACAAAGCTAGAAAAAATAAATAAATAAATAAAAGAGTGGATGATAAAGTGCATTTTTTTAGGAATGATGATAAAGTGGTTTGGTCCCTATTATTTGAAGAAATAATTCTTCAGCAAAAACAATAACGACAATAACAATAATTCTCAATACAATACATATCTATATGCCTGTACGTTTAAACGCCTTTTTGAGTGCTCTAAAGACTTCTTTTCTTAATCAATCATACTTTAATTATTGTGACTGCGATAAGCCAACTGAATTAAAAGTTGAGTTTATTATAATATCCTGTATTTGATACTAAAAATGGGTATTAAGCTGACATAATTTATTATATTTTAACGGAAAAAATGACCTGTATGAAAATAAAAGTCAATCTTAATAACAAACAGGGACACCTTTGAATTCTATGTAAATCTTTAGGATAAGAAGGCCATCTTTTCGAGCAATGAGGTGGACCGACGAAGTTCCATCATTGAAGTCCAGGGTTGTTTATGTAATTTTAAATTCCGACACCAGTGCCTTGACGAAAGGAAAAAAGGTAAACAGCAGCGTATTTTCTTAATTTTTAATTTTTTTTTTTAAAAGAGGTAAACAGCAAGTCATTCAGTGATGTCCATTGACATTTAATATATGCCTGGTTATTTTAAACAACTAAAAGAGAAGCTTCTTAATTGTTTTCTATGACATAACCATCCTCCTGCATTGTTTCTCTACACCTGTAACTACGATCTCCAAACTCCTCAGAGCATCTACTGTATTTCGGAAAGATGAAAGAATAAAAATATATATTTTGGTTCAGTACTTTTTGTTGCTTTAAAAATATTCTTTTCTTTCGCAAGGTTAGAGGTTCTACCGTAATTACGCCACAACTTGTTAGAAAGAGAAGGCCTGAGATGCAGCATTGTTCAACGAAGTACCAGAGCAGCGAGTGAAGTTTTGGGAAATTTTTTTTTTTCCAAGATCTGAAGTAATTACGAGATAGATAAACATGTTTAAGTCATGGAACAAGAAAAACAAGATCAAAGCCGTCTTCAAATTGCAGTTTCATGTTACTCAGGTAATTTGTCTTCATTCCCAAAAGTGACCCTTGTTTTCTTCTTACAGAATGAAAAACTCCATTTGCTCTTAAGTGGGGTTTCACTAATTTTGATTGGAAGTTTGAATTTTTCATATTTCAAATGAGTTTTAAGCTATGACAAATTTTAATACTAGAATGCGATTTGGTGATGCAAAAATTCAAGAGTGCACAAGTTCATACCTCCTTTTCCTTTGGATTTTCAGGTGCCCAAATTGAAAAAACCTGCAGTGATGATATCATTGGTGCCGGAGGATGTTGGAAAGCCGTCGGTGAAGTTGGAGAAAGTTGCAGTTCAGGATGGAACCTGTACATGGGAGAATCCTGTGTATGAACCAGTGAAACTAATCATGGAGACAAAAACAGGAAAAATCAACGAGAAAATTTACCACTTTATTGTTTCAACTGTAAGGAGCAGTCCAATTATCTCCAGCCCTTCTCTTGATGCAGGTTTTTTTTCTGTGTGGTTTCTAATTGTAACGGGTTCTTGTAGGGGTCATCAAAATCTGGCTACCTGGGAGAAGCTTCAATCGATTTTGCTGATTTTGCGGCGGAAACTGAACCATTCACCGTCTCTCTGCCTCTTAAATTTGCAAATTCTGGTGCAGTGTTGCATGTCAGTACCCTTTCTCTATCCTGTGGACGCTTAGACATACAAAACTACACACACACATCTCATGATTTAACAGTATTGTGTCTCTTGTTCAATTTCTTAAAGTTTAAATTTTGAAGACCTGCCACGATTCCCTTACTTATGCGGCATTCTTAAGACAGGTGACGATTCAGAGGATGCTGGGAGCTGATGATGGAAGGTGATAAATGGAGATTAACAGTCACTATTTGTTCGGCATTATTTCTTGTTTCCTGTTTTGTTGTCACTTTCCCCTTTTTCTGCTGCTAGTTACTGATAAATGTAGAAATTCAATCTCAGAGAAGAAAATGGAGCACCTATGCTTCTCAAGAATGGAAGCTTGGAGAGCCAAGATGGCACGTGGGGTACAGATGAAAACAACGGGAGTTTTAGTGAAGTAAGATCTCTTATAACATGTAGTTTTCAGATGGTTACTTGATAGCCGAAACCCCAAATTCTAAGAAATAAAGACCCTCTTCTGAATGTTTTTGTGGTTGTTTCACAGGATGGAAACATATTATTACAAAAAGAAGAGTATGAAAACTATCACGAAATGACAACTGTGGAGCAGGATGCTGCCAACTTCCTCTCACCCTTCAAAACAAAACCCATGCTTCAGAAAGGAGCGGCTGATGCCTCAGTGACAAATAATAAGATTCAAAATAGACGCAAGTTGAACTGGTCAGTAGATTCCGCTTCAGATGACAGCTTACTTGAATCACCGAGCAGTCTTGAAGACAACAATCCAAGAGAACGGTTGAGAGAGGCTTCAGATGATTCCACTATAAAACTCCAAAATGAAATTACTATACTGATGAGGCAGGCTGAACTTTCAGAACTTGAAATACAGTCTCTTCGCAGACATATTGAGAAGGAGACCAAACAAGGACAGAATCTATCAAGACAAATTAGTAGTCTCAAAGAGGAGAGAGACCAATTCAAATTGGACTGTGAACAACTTAGGTCATTGCAGAAGACTACTGATGAGACGGAGGCTCCCAAAAAACTGCAAGCTGCGATCAAGGATTTGAGAGCTCAGTTAGAAGCAATAAGGGAGGAGCTTAATCAAGAAAAGAAACTAAGTGACAATCTTCAGTTGCAACTGCAGGAGACACAAGACTCAAACTCTGAGTTGATCCTGGTGGTGAAGGATCTCGAAGATTTGGTGGAGCGAAAAAACAATGAAATATCTGATCTCAAAAGGAAGGTAGAAAATGCAAAAACTGCCTACCAACAATCGCAAGAAGAATATGCTAAGAGGCAAAATGAGGCTGAAGAAGTAGAGCTTTTAGAGGCTAAGATCAGAGGTTTGCATAGTGAAATAGAGACGTACATGGAGGAGATGGAAAAGCAAAACATGCGGATAAAACAGATTACTTTGAACTATGACCTTTTGAAGCAAGATAACTTTGACATGTCTTTGAAGTTGAAGCGAAATCAAGACGAGCAAATGAAACGGGAAAATGAATGTGCAGATTATATAGCAACCATAAATGAGCTTGAATCTCAGGTGGAGAGATTAGAAGAAACAATCAAGAAGCAAGCACGAGAATTTGCAGAAGCTTTGATCTCTATCAATGAACTTGAAGGTCAAGTCAAAGCTTTGGAAAAGGAGCTGGAACAGCAGGCCAAGGGATTTGAAGATGACATGAATGCCATCAAACGTGCCAAAGTTGAGCAAGAACAGAGAGCAATCCAAGCAGAGGAGGCCTTGAAGAGTACAAGGCTGAATAATACGATTAAAGCTGAGCGACTTCAGGAGGAATTCAGAAGTTTTTCCTTGGAAATGTCATTAAAGGTTGATGAGAATGAGAAGCAGGCTACCCAAGCAGAGACTGAAGCTAGTGAACTCCGTCTACAGAACAGAATTTTGGAAGGAAAGCTCCTGAAAGCCACAAAAGAGCTGGAGCTGTTTAAGGACCAGGAAAAAGTGAAATTACAAGAGCTTGTGAACAAAATAGATCTTAAAGATAAAGAGATAGGACATGTTTCTTTGGAGCTAAACAATAAGTCTCAGCAACTCAAATCTGCTCAAAAGCACAAGGAAGAAAAGCATGAAGCTTTCTTAACAGAACTTCAAATGCTTAGAGCAGAAATCGAAAGGCTCAACAAAGAGAAGTCCAATGTTGTTGAAGAGGAAGACGAAAAAGTAAGATTGAGAGATGAAACTGAACGAATGAAGAAAGCTGTTTTCGAAAAAGAGAGGCTGACACAGAGATTGAACAAAGAAAAGGAAAACTTGGAGGCAAAATTTGCTTTAGCAAAGCAGGGAGCAAGGAAAGAGTTTAAAAATTCCCATGCCAGTGAACAGTGTAACATGTCGGACTTGCTGACAGAAGTTGCATCACTGAGCGAGAAGAACAAATCCATGGAGAAAGAACTGAAGGAAATGGAAGGAAGATATTCAGAGATAAGTCTACGATTTGCCGAGGTAGAAGGTGAAAGGCAGCAACTTGTAATGACTGTGCGTAACCTCAAGAATGGAAAGAAGAACTAGAATACAAGCATTCTCTGCAGCTTCAAATTGCATTACTGGAAATGGTTCATGGTGAAGCCCCCTAATATCTAGTCCTAATGTGGAGAAAAAAAAATGTATTGACCAATGATTTTCTTCCTCGTCTTTGTAGTTCATATTAGGAAAATACAGTTACAGTGTTTTTAACCAATTATTGCTAAAATACCAAGATCTAGATCTAGGATAGTGTCAATTGTTCTTGTCATAAATGTTGAATCAATCATTATTATCAAAGCATTTTTTTTTTGGTGCATGGAGTAATGTATTTATTTTTATGACGTCAAGCAATACAGTGGATTTCTCGGTAGGTGTCTAGGTGATCAGCAATAAGGAACTGTAAACCTCAAAAAACCAAAAGCAGGACCATAAGTTGAACAAGAATGAAACCATAACCTTTTGAAAAACATGGCAACACATATGCTGAGAATTTCTTAACAATATTAGACCCCTTGTTGAACTTGTAGCCTGTAGGATGATCAGAGTCGCAGTCTAAAAGTACATTTTGAAATGATTACACAGTTTAGAAACAAACCTGCAGCTGCAATGAATTGATCCTAAATCCATAAACTCCCTAACAACACTTCTTGGAATTCATATTTGCTTCTAAAACTTCTTTCTAAGATTGGGAGTTCCTTCATTCCAGACCAGCTTAGTTTGGCTTTCACCATTATTCATGGCAAAAGACAGTGTCTGCAATCAGTATTGTAAACTTTTGTTAGAAAACCAGTTAAAATATCAATTAAAACGAGTTAGGCTCTTCATTAATTGAGCATGAAGGCACAACTGATTCCAATGAATTTATCAATGATGGCCAACAGAAAAACAATACAACCTGTCGTGATCTTTTATCTATAGGTGTCCACGTGCGCAGAATAGACGCTGATGCTGAATTTTTTATGCCCTTGGATGAACTTGATGATTGCATCGATAGCTTCTGCTTCTTTTGTTGGGGTATCCTCCTTGCAGTGCTGCCTCCTTGGTACTTGAAAAACTCAAGAATAGAAGGACTTCTTCTCTTGGTAACTTTTGATATACTCCTCAAACCACCATAACAAGGTTCAGAAGAGTCACAATGAAGAGACTGATTACGCAATCTGCTTTTGCTTTTTTCCCTTATCCTGTCAAGAAAATCCCTTGTCCAAGGAGATTTTTGACCAGGACTGGAGAAGCTCAGTGCATTTGAGAGCGGTGTTCCTCCAAATTCATAATATGATGACTCCTTCTCTTGGAACTGTACCCTGTGGGAATTTTCTGCAGGTGTCTCTTTGAAACAATTCTTTACTAGCTTGTCAGGGTGTCTTAGAAATGAAAGATCGTTTCCAAGATCTGTGTCTGAGTAACTCTTGACTCCTGCTTGCAAATTATGCCTCTTATCTTCTACAGAATTCCAGATATTTTTTCCCGAGAAAATTTCAGCACTCGTTGAAAAAGTAGTCTGATGGTTCTTTCCAAATGATAATCTTCTTATGGTTTTAGACTTTCTTGTTGCATCCTTTTCTATCTCAGGCATTACGTATGTTATGGGGTCAGCAATAGAAAAAAACTCCTTTCCTGATCCAGGACTTCCAGTTAGGTCAATGACTTCACCTTTTTCATCCTCAAACAGAAAGTCAGAGCTGTTGATATTATGGAGATCAAAGTTTTTCAACATAGCCACACCTGTTCCCTGTAGCTGACCCGATAACTTTTCATTAAAAGACAACTCAGGCTTTCTAATCTTTTTGAACATTTGGGGTTCTTCAGACTTCTGAAAGTCACGTGGCTTTGGAACAATGGAGGGATCCATCATCGCAGACACATCCAAACCCTGTTCTTGATGAAACAAATTACTCCTACAGAGTCTGGGCTTTCTGAGCTCATGAAATGTCTCAGGATCTTTTGACATGAATGGATTATACGGCTTTGCCACCGAAGATGGATCCAGGCTATCTTTAGAAAATTGGTTAACTGGATCAATATGCAGTAATTCATCCATATGCGTGTCATTTTTGTGAAGCATACCACCGTATTCCCATCTTTTTCTTTTAGAAGCAACATTTAGATCGAAGTTTTTGGAGTCAGTACCAGAAGAAACTGAAGAAGAGCAGTTTGTCATCATTGATCTCGATTCTTCTAGCTCACCATACTTGCATAAAGCACCTAATAGGGCAATACTTTCATTAGGAACATGATATTTCTGGATTGCACGAATCCTGTATTCATTTGACCGTTCAAGGAACTCAATGAGCATGTCTCCTGAAGACAATATCGCATGAGCTGTCAAGGGATTAACTGAAGGAAATTTGGTAAGAAAGGACTCTGCAAGAGTTTCTGATTCGGGCATTCGTGGATATACACCTCTTGTGGCACATCCAATGCAGCTCATTATGATTTCATCAGTCAGCTCGGAAGAAGATGAGCAAAACAGCTGCACATCAATTCCCAGGCTTGCAGCAGCAGCGTAGAATCCATCTGAGTGTTCCATCACAGTGGAAAGGAAACTGTTTTCTCCCTCAAAGACCTGCAAAAAGAAAATATAAAGTACTCAAGAAACAAAATAATTGTACTGCCTTACTTTGGGGAATGCACACCAAATAATGACAATACTGAGAGAATCAGATGTATTGTATTCAACCAAACCATACTGACAGCCCTCTAAACAAATTCGCTCTTGCAAGATTAACAGAGTTTCCATACTTGTGGCTCTTTTATGTCAAACGAAGTTATGTTGCAATATTGTTTTCTTAATATAACTTAGAGAAAATTTCCAAAATAAAATAATAGTAGTACTAATAAAACAAGTTTATAATTACCATGATGCAGCCACTGAAATTGAAACTAAGCAAGGTCAAAACATTTGTTGCAATATTCTCAATGCACAAGGGTAAGCACGAAGAAGCTTCGTCAGAATCAGAAGCTTTCTTTCCAATGTTTCTGCAATCATACCACGCTAAACAAATTGCAGAATTTACTATAATATCTACAGGTAAATCTGAATCACGTTCAACAACCTGTGCCCCTTCTTTCTCCATTGCAAGAATTCTTTGATAGGTACTTCTTCTGGATACTATCATTTCCTTGTCAAGAGTTTGTGTATTAACAACTATTACTGTTTCAGGGAAAGATTCCATACTGTCATTGGACTCTTTTACAAATGGCATAGAAGGAACTGGTAAAGGCACACTGTAAGATTCTACTTTATCTGTAGCCTCTTTAGCTCTCGTATCATACTCTTTTATACTGTCATTGGACTCTTTCACAAATGGCATAGAAGGAATTGGTAAAGGCATACTGTAAGCTTCTGCTTTGTCTGTAGCCTCTTTAGCTCTCATATCATACTCTTCCTCCATAGATAAATAGTTGAAGAGCTTCTTATGCTTGTTAGCATTCTCATCCATATCTGAAATGGTGATTGATTCTCCTCCCTGGGATATAGCTGCAACTGAGTTACCCTGTGGATTCTTGGGAGATGTAGCATTATTTTGGACTGCTCTAATTGCTGGCTCACTATTTGTCCTGGTGGCTTTCTGAGCATTCAAGAAAAAATCGAGATCATTGGATTGTGACATAGACTTGAACAATAATGAAGCCCTCTCAGAAGTCTTTTTAGCCACCTGTTCTCCTTTGTCTGGTTGCGGGAACCTACTTACTGGTTCAACTGCCTCAGTAATACTAGAAGGGATAAATACATCAGAAAGAAATTCCATGGATTCTGCATTTTCATCCGTGCTAAACCCATACAGGCTATCGTCAGAGAAGATAAAGTCATATACCACATTTTTATCACCAAAAGAGTCCCAATCGTCATCGATGCTGTGTGAACCCATATCCTTTAAAACATTCTCGTAGAAGTAAGTTTTGCTTCTATACGTATCATCCTCAAGGAGATGCCAGTCCAAGTAAATTCCATCCAGGGCAGATAGGGGGTGTGGCCTTAGATTAGCAAGTTTTCCTTCAATAATTGTATAGAACGACCTTACCTTTTCATGATCGCAAATAACAGGCACCGGCAATGACTTGAATGTTTCATCTACCAGGGTTAGCTCATGGCTAACAATCAATTTATTGAAATCCTTAAACTTCGTGTCTTCATTGAACATCCAGTCACATGTTTCTGGTTCAGAAGCTGTTTGTCCATTAAGTAGGGCTTCAAAAATCTGCGATGAATCCACATCAAGAATATCAAATTCCTCATAAACAACTGGCTTATCTGAAAGAAAACCATCAAAACCCGATGTCCCTTGAACTCCCGAGATTATCTTAATATGTGAAATCTCCACCAGACGTATCAAGTCTACTTCTGGGAAATTGTCCAGGGATCCCAGCTCAGATCCAAAAGAGTGAAATGACAGATAATGATCAGAAAGGAGCCGCGATATGTCATCCCCTTTTGAACCCAAAAGCTCCTTGTCTCCAATGTCCAGGTTATCTTTTTGAGAAAGTTGCAGTTCACAATTTTCAAAAAGTGAAAGAAGCTTTTCTTCCATTGCAAAACCTTCAATTTGCTCCAAAACTATCTCGTCCGCTTCTACTACAGGGAAAGTTATTTGATTAAAGTGAATCTGGTCCTGGAAAGAACAATCATCTTGGACATTATCCTTCTTCCCCGTTGGATACTCAAATGTAATCTTTTCAACTGATATAATTGATTGAAATTCACGAGGATAATGAGTTGAAAGCCCTGGCTTGAGCATGTCCTGCTAGAAAGACAAAACGTTTTTTTAACACATCAACGTGAAATTTGTTACTGAGGGATCAGAAACATGTCATCCTCGGAAAGCTGTACTAGAAACTTAGTTAAGAACATCCATAATGAGAAAGCGTGTAAACTAAAAGAGTAAAGTGAGAAGAAGAATTAGGTGTCCGATTGTATAGAAACTACAAGCTGAAAACTAATGATACTCTGTACATCTAGAAGTTAAATATAAAGCTAACGTATCATGTATTAACTACGTAAGAGGCTGAGGTTAATGATATAAGAGGAAATCAACCAAATGTTATAGTTGAATCAAAGACAGTTCAAACAGATACCAAATATTCTTCTATTTCTGGAGCTTTTGAAAGAATTTGGATCCCCTCATTTTCAAAAAATGAAGCATTTTCCTGAAAATAAGAGATAAAACACGTTGTGTAAGAAGAAAAACAATCAGTATAATATGCGAAGAAACACACACATGAAAACTGGAAACTGATTCAGCAACTTTAAGGAACAAAACAAACATATATGTGAACCAAATTGCATCTATATTCGTATGGATTAAGTTTACCGCGAATACATCGAGCTCTGGCGTTTCGAATTGGGTTAATTCGTATCGAGGTGTAATTTTATCATCGACCGCACTTCCATTACTCTTCTGCAATAAAATAATTACGCTTGTGCACTAAAATGAGTTTGCCACGCGAAATAACCTGACATAAGATAACGATAACATAATCTGTTAATGCCACTTTCATACTTTTGGGACTTCAACTCCGATAGCTTTGGATACAGAAGGTTTCTGACTCTCCACATCCTTCTCCCCATTGAGAACCTTAGTTTCCTGATACAAGTGAATGCAAATCATAAGCAATTGAGTACCCAACGAGTCCGGCTTGCAGGCTGATTCAGAACATTATCAAGAAATTGTCACAACAACGTCACAAACATCAATTAAGATCTGAGATTATCTTGTTTTCAAGTTGTGAACAAGAAGCAAGGAATAATAATGTGAAGATAAAATAAAATTTTAAAAAATTCTATTGAAGAACTTAGTAATGTCCCGAAGAGTTCATTGTTCTTCTTACTTTTCTTCTCATTTCTTAGACTGATTTAGGGTAAAAAAATAATTAAAAAACTTCTGTCATATTAAAGAAAAGATCTTCAACAAAAATTGATTAAACATTTCCTGAAAATCAGTTGACCTTTCCCCTAACTAAGATAATTTCTATTTCCAGCCCGATAAATAAATGCATAAACAGTAGAAACTCTGTAACGCGGCTCTACCGAGCAAAATGATTGTTTTGAGCCAATTTACGATAAAGTATATCTCACAAATGTGAAAACAGCTATCAGTCACGCGTTATGTCTATTAGAATCACCGTTTTCACGGAAGAAAATAACGGTTTCAACAATCTCGTATCTCCAAAAAAAAAAAAAAAACAAATTAAGAAGCAAAATTGTGAAGTTAGAAATCATCGCAACCAGATTATGCAACAAATAGCAAAATTTCGCACAGATCTAACGGATTACCTCCGATAATTCATCCTCGTAGCCTCTGGAACCGGAAATTTCACGAGAAGCGCACGAAACATCGCCCTCAAAATCTTCAGCGCCGATGTCGACATTCTGAGGAAGAACGTCGGAGAAGAACTTGGAGAGAGCGGTTTCGACCGGCAATTTGTCAATTCGGAGGGAGACATTGAAGGTGGAGCCGAAGCAGAGGAAGAGGAGGTCCGAGAAGGTGGAGATTGGCGGAGATGGAGAGACCTGAGGGACTGGCAGTTGCAGGAAGGCTAGGGTTTCCAGCGATTGGCTCAGGGCGGTGACGATGAAGTCGGAGTCGGAAAAGCGAGATCGCATTTCAGCTTTGAAATTTTTGAGAGAGAAATGGAGGGAAAGACGAAAATTTTGTGCAACGGACTTTTCTTGGTATTGAAGTTAAATTGGCGCTCAAAAAGTTGGTCTGTGCCTTTTATATAAGTTTGGCGCTTGCTGTTTTTCAAATGAAAATAGTTTGGGGTTGGCTTTTGCAGCTCCTAATAGCAACAATTACTGCTTAGTGAACCTAGCCTTGAAATCCTCCCTCTGTCTCTTTCTCTCTCTCTCTCTCTCTCCTCCGCCGAACGCAGACGCAGAAACGAAGGTCTTCACCTCTTATCGTGGCGGCTTCTCCCTACTCCAAAACTCGTTTTCTTCCTCTAAAAGTCCTCCAGGTATCTTCTTTTTTCCTTTTCTTTCCATTTTTGCTGTGATTTTTTCAGTAAAAAATTGTCAGTATTCTTGCCATTTTTTCATGTGATTTTTCCGCTTTGATTTGTTTTTCTGCTGGGATTTAAGGTAATTTTGGTGCTTTAGGTTCACTTTCTTTCTCAATCTCTGTCTACTTCGGTCTTCTTTCTCGCTTTTTTTTCCCTTCCTCTTCTCATTTTTCTCTCTTTCTTTCTTTCTCTCTTCCGCTCTCAATATTTTCTCTTTATTTCTTCCTTAGCTGATCTATGTACCATAGTTTTTTGTTCACAGTTGTTTTTTTCTTTGTTTTTTTTTTTTTCTCCGGGTTTCTTCCTTTGCTGGGCTTCTTCCGGTAGTGCTTTTCTTTTTTCTTTTCTTTTTTACTCCGGGTTTCTTTTCTTTGTTGGGTTTCTTCTTTTATTGCTTCAATATTTTTGTTTCTTGCTCTTTTTGTCCGATTATTTCTTCCTTAGCTGCTCTATGTACTATAATTTTTTGTTCACAGTTGTTTTTTTTTTTTTTTTTTTTAAAGTACTTGGTAATGCATGTTGTTTGCTTCAATTTCTTCGCAGGTTCTTTATCTTCTTCTTTAATGGATTTATCTGTGCATATGCTTTATTTGCATCAGTGGACTTTCTCTTAGTTGATCTTATGCCGCGTATGGGTAACTTTCGATTTTTTTCCTTTCATTTTATTGGTTTGATGATCTGAGCTGTTTATAGTCATCATTAATTTGCTTTGTTGGGTTCATAATTTGTGGTGATTTTGATATATACATATTAAATGAATTGCTATTTTTTTTCCTGTGCATTTTTTGAAATTTACGCCAAATTTAGCATCTATTATCTAGAATTCCGGTGATTTTAAGGGAAAAAAATTTCCCCTTTTTTTCTTCCCCTTTTTTTTACCTCTGCTTTTTCCTATTTATGAGGCAATTATTTTTTAAATTGCTCCTAGGCCTGTATTGCTTTTGTTGCTTAATTAGAAAATTTTAATCCTCCAATTTTTGTAAGCTGAGTATGTATTACTGCGTGTTACATTACTAGAGGCCATCTACTGTTCATGGTAACTTTTTCACGCATTATTTATGAATGCTGCAGACAAGTTGTAATACGTGTTTCTGTTTCCTTCTCCTATTCTTGCTATTTCTCCCATTCTGTTTTATCTTTCATTTTCTACTATTATTTTACTCTATTGTTCTCCAGTTACTTTACTGCTCTACTTCTTTGGCTCTGTCCCATTTAACCGATTCTATTTGCTGTTGCTCTACCTATGATCATTTACTCTTTCATTTCACCTCCTATCATTAACTCTTCTGTTTTTTTTATCTTTTTATCTTTAACTGCCTGTGTGTATTTTTAATTGGTTAATATCTTACAGTTAAAATAGTGTTCACATAGAATAGTGGTCACAGCTCTCCAAGTACTATTAATAGCTTCTGCTTGCTTTTCTCTAATGTTATTAATATTTATTCTTTCTTTGCTTTATTACTTCTCTTGATTTTATTATTTTGTTATTATTTAATGACATTCAAATGTTCTCTTGCACTTTGCTTGCTTCTTAATAACATACATAGATATGTCTTTATTTCAGATGTTTTATGTGTAGTTTCTTTTTTTTCTTCCTTTTTTTTTCCGTCCTCTTTTCCTTCTTCCCCTTCCCTTTTTTTCTTTCCCCCTTATGGCGATAATGAGTAGGAATAATTTTGATACGTTGAGTTTGACATGATTTGTCCAAAATTTACTGTGAATATATATTTTTTCATTCTATCTTGTTTTTATTCATCTTTTTTATTCAAAATTTTTGGCTGTTCGTTTTTTTCTTCTTCCTTTTCCATCTCTTTTTCTCCTTTCTTTTTTCGGTCTCCCTTTTTTGTTTCCTGTTCTTTCATTTTTCTTTTGTTTTTCCCCCTTTTTTGTTTTTCTTCGACTTATATATTTTAATTGATTTTCGTTTTCTGTCCACCTTGCATATGCAGGAGGATTCTTATTTTTCCCTTTTTCTTTTTATTCTCTTGGTAGTGATTAGACAATCTCATATATTATTCCGGTTGGTTATTTTTTATGACATGGAAGTTATAATCCGTGTTATGAATTTAAAATCTCATTAATTTTTATGCCTTTGTCCAATTGTCCATAGTAAGCAGTCAAAAAGTGACTATAAGCATATAAGCATATAAGTTTATCTGTGTGACATGTTAATGAAAAAATAATGACTGATGTAAATTTTTAAGCATAAAATTTTTTTCTCATTTTCCTCTTTACTTCCATTGCTTGAGGTATCAAGAAAAACTTTTCTCCATACAGTTTTAATGACTGTTGTTGATCCTAAATATATTAATTTGGTACATCAATGTTAATATTAGTTGTTTGTACTTTCTTATCTTCTTAGCTATGCACTTTTATTATTATATTGACACATATTACTGATATGCATAAAACTGACCAAAATTTGTTCCTATTATTAGCAAATATTAGTAATCTACTTCTATTTGATCTTTCGTCTTATAAGTAAGTGATCTTTACATATTGATTTCCTTTTCATTCTTTTAGTAAATTTCTAATGACATGTCTCCCTTTCAAAACCAATTATCGTTGGTATCACTGCATAAAGAACGAAATAAAAATATTACCATGTTTATGTTTTTGTACTTTTTGTTTTGTTCTCCTCCTTTCCTCTCCCTAGAGCTGTCTCTTTTTTTTTTTTTTAATATATATACATATTGCCAGATTTAATGTAATGCTAGTTCCCTTACAGTCTCCAAATAATATTATGTCACTCCCGTCAACATCTCACAGTTATAATGAATGTAATTTTCTTATCTATAGTAATTATTACATTTTATCTATGATATAATAATCTTTTCTGCAACAACGTGGGTACAAAACTAGTCATTTCCAAAGAGGGGATCAATGATAATTGTACGTGCCTAAATCATCTTGTAGTCAGTGAGGTTGCATAACAAACACGTATTGGTCTATGCTTTACAAATTAAATTGTGGGCAGATCGCATTTTTAGGAATTAAGGTAAGAAACTTTAATAAATCCAGTTTAAGGAGACCAATGTGGATACTAATTTAATAAATTATATAACATAATTGTTCTTATGTATGAAATGAAGCATCTCTTTTTTTTTCTTTTTTTTTTTTTCTAAACAAATGAAGCATCGAATTTTTGTTTTAGGAGAGAGGCGCCAACAATTATTTAGGTCCAGTCTCTGGGGCCCGAGAATCAATATTCAGTAGAAACCCTAGAAAGGGTAAATAAAGCACTAGGAGAAATCAAGAAAATAGTATTAGGATGAATTACTATAATCAAGCCTTAGAGAATACTACTAAATATACCAATAATCCTACAGGTAAAGATTCATTTGAAGCTCCTAGTGAGAAAAATTAGAAAATAGTCAATCGCAGAGAGACTATTCCAAACAGTTAGATGAAACTTAGCCAAAGGAATACCTTTTGGATTAAAGAATGCCCTCATAGACTGTGAGGTTTTGTTCTTTTTACTATTTATTGTTATAATATTTTCTCTTATAAAAATTTAAATTTAATTTTTTTACTACGGTAATTTTTTTTTTTTTTTACATACACAACTTAACACGTTTGATTGATAGATTCAGAATTATTCTCAATTTATGTGTGTTTTTTTGTACAAAAATATTATAACGAATTACGAATCATGATTCGAATCATGGCATGAACCATACTCACTTTTAAAGTTCTCAAATCGAGAACTCTTGTGAAACAAACCAACTCATAATAACTCCCAAAAGAAATCGTGGCGTGAATGCTTACGTTCAGTTTAGGCTTGTTTATGAAGCGTATGCCTAAAGTGGAATAGTTAAGAGGAAAAGGTGTGAGGGGAGTAAAATAAGCGAAAGCACAAAACAACTAGTCTAAAGAGATGGAAAAAGAAAAAGAAAGAAATGGAATATAAACAAATCTAAAGAGATATTTTCCTTTTTATACTAATCTAAAGAGAAGAAATGAAATATAAACAAATCTAAAGAGATATTTTCTTTTTTATACTAATCTAAAGAGAAGAAATGGAATATAAACAAATCTAAAGAGATATTTTATTTTTTATACTAATCTAAAGAGATATACCATGTAAATGACAGTCACTTTGTTGACAATGGCTGGCTCACCTCAATATCTGTCACGCCATAGGGCACCTATTAGTCATCATTGTAAGCAAGCTGTGCAACATTATCAATTCCAAAATTCTACTCTTACCCACCACGGCACTGACCACGTCTAACAAAAATCCATGTACGTGTCACGAGTCGGTTACAAACAGAGTGTACACATCTAGATACACGTGTATTGTAATCAAACGCACCACGTAGCTAGAGATCATGCAACGGTGGCCAAAGCTCACTGGACTTCTCTTCTCTATAAAGGCCTCTCATATCTTTGTCCTTTCTAATATTACACTCTCTTCCAATTCTGCATACTAAATTAGCATAGCGATCAACGCAGTTGTCCTGTTCTTTCTTTGGAGTTGTGATTTTTTTTTTTTTAGCTTAATTAATATGGCGTCACAAATGGTACATCCTCATGGGCATGGTCATGACCAAGGTACGCGATCCGCATTTAGGTGTGACAAACGTTAATTATTATCTTTTAATTTCTGATGTATGCAATTTTGGTGTTCATTTTAGATATCATTCATCACTTTGAAACTTTTTTTTTTTTTTTTTTTTTTTTTTTTTGCGTGGTTTCAGCGGTTGAAGGTGAAGACGAGCACCACCATGAGAAGAAGTCGGTTTTGAACATGGTAAAGGCAAAGGCCAGGAAGATAAAGGACACAATGACAAAGCATGGCCATGGACACGACCATGATCATGATCATATCCCTGATGATCATGATCTGGATGAGGAAGATGATGGGGACGATGAAACGGTGGAAGGCCAAAAAGTCCATGGTGCACCAAGTACGTATTTTGTACTATATACTTTTTGTTTTGTTGTTGAATATCTTCTTTTTTTTTCCAAATATTACGGTTGGAATCTTGAAACATTATTTGTGTTGTTGATAAGTAGCACTTTATGAGTCTACAGCAGTGATAAGTGGTCCTGCCACTCCAGTGAGCACGCCGCCTGTGCCGTCTTTCTCGCATGGGATTTCCGAGACCAAGGAGACTGATCCTAGTAAAACTTTTGTTCCCGGGACAGAATCAAAGGTCAATTTGGAAAGACCAAAAGGGGGATTAGTGGAAGATCCTCATGCAGCAAAGGATACTCCTAGTTACACTCCTCCAAATTATCAGACTAAAGTCACAGATCCAACAGGGGCAGGTAAAAGTTTGACAATAAATTCAAATTGACCTTTACAAAGGTTTTATTTTCTCCCTGTTGATCAAGTGATCAATGCATTAACCCTGAAATTTATCCCCCAAAAAAAATTATAGGAGACGTTTGGTTCTGGATTAGAATCATTGTGATTAGAATTATTTATCATTTTTAATTTACGTGTATTTTTTTAAAAAATACTGTAACGAATCACGAATCATGATTTAAATTATGGTTTGAATCTTCCAATCCAACATCTCAATAGTCTATTTATTTTCGGGAGACATACAAAAGTACCATACAAATTGTCATATTTGCATATTTGCATTGCCACCAAATGGCTAAAACTTATCATCTATTCTAAACTTTTTATTAGAAAAATTAAGCGGGTTCATTGTCTTAGTTCCCTGCAAAAAATTGTGCCACTACCATGGACTACGGCCCTTTTTACATGCATATTCTTGTCACTTAAAAACTTTTACTTTTTGTTTTGTTTTGTTTGATATCCCAATATTTTAAACAGGAAATGAGGAGATAGGAGTCACCCCAATTCTAAGTTCGTTTGATAAGATGAATATACATGATGAATCAGAACCAAAATCTCAGCGAAATGTGACAAATTCATCCACTGGAAGCCATGACCAATTTTCTCCGGATGATGCCCATAAGCCCATAATCACACCCCAACACCCCCAAATACTCCAAGAAAATATAGACACCGTCAAACCCGAAACTAATAGTACTTTGACCGAGAAAATCTCATCCGCCACATATTCCGTCGCTGACAAAGCAATATCGGCAAAAAACGTCGTCGCTTCCAAGCTCGGCTATGGCAAAAAAGACGAGATATCAGGAACTCGTGATGAAAGTAGTACTGGAGCTGGTCCTGGTTCTGGTAATTACAAGCCATCTTCCGCAGCTGAATACGGGAAGAAAACCGCCACATATTCCGTCGCTGACAAAGCAATATCTGCAAAAAACGTCGTCGCTTCCAAGCTCGGCTATGGCAAAAAAGACGAGGTATCAGGAACTCATGATGAAAGTAGTACTGGAACTGGTCCTGGTTCTGGCAATTACAAGCCATCTTCCGCAGCTGAATACGGGAAGAAAACCGCCGCCACGGTGACCGAGAAGCCGACTCCGGCGTACGAGAAGGTGGCAGAGGCAGGGACGACAGCCGTGTCGAAAACGCAAGGCGCAACGACGACAACCAAACCCGAAAACGAATCTACAAGTAGTGGACAAGGCAGGGGAGCCTCGGTGAGGGACTATTTTGCGGAGAAGTTGAGGCCGGGAGAAGAAGACCGAGCGCTTTCGGGGGTGATTTCTGATGCTCTGCACAAGGGCAAGCATGATCAGCCGGAGACGACGAGGCCGGTGGGGAAGGTGACGGAGTCTGAAGAAGTGGCGAGAAAGTTGGGGACTGGAGACGAGAGAGATGACGAGAAAGAGCAGTCTAGTAATGTAAACCAAGCTGGGGAGAAGAGTGTCGTTGATAAGGTTAAAGGAACTGTTGGTTCCTGGCTTGGATTTGGTGGAGACCAATCTAAGGACAGTGTTCAACAACAGTCATCTGGTAATTCCCAAGGTAAATAAGCAACACTGTTGGGCTAGAGATGACATTAATTTGCTTCCTTATTTGTTTTTTAACGTAATTTTGGTTTTCATTGTCGTTTTTTGTTCATTGGCAGGTGAAGTGGCGGATAACGTGCAGCAGGGGAAGGAGGAACGCAGGCTTCAGGAGTCGAGCAATTGAAAAGAGAGGGGTTGCGGTTGATAATTGCTTATTTCTTTTGCAATAAAGTGATATATTTTCTGTTTGTGTTAATGGTTTGGTTGTGAGGTTCACTCGAGAGTAAATTTGTTTGTTGACGTTGCTTTGAGTTTTGTTGCGCGTGTAACTATCTTATGACTGGAGAGATTCTGCATCTCTTCTGCGCATGTATATTATGTTATTTAGTTACCTCTTGCCTAATGTTAAACTTAAACCGCTTGCATTTGAATGCCGTTTTCATGAAGGATGGAGTTTATTTTTACTTTTATATTTTTAAAAAGTGGGGAACAAATTGGGAAAGGAGAGCAGAATTGAAAACGACAATGGGCGATATGAGTAAACGACAATAAAATAAGTTAACGGAAGAAGTATTAAATGACGGAGGTTGAATAGGCGACACTAAAATTTTGGAATATGACAACAGAATAGCCTAACAACAAAAAGAGAAGAAAAAATTGAGCAAAGCCTCCGGACATTATAAACGGCGTTAAAAGTAGAAAGAGACAACTGATTGAGGCGACAAAGATTGAGGAAAAATAGTATAATATTAATATTTAACCACACTTACCAATGGTAAGAGTGGAAACGACAAAAAAAAAAAAAAAAATCAATACAAAAGTTGCTAACACAGTGCCCCAAGCAATACCCTTCTGGTGGCTTAAATAAATACAAAAGTTGCTAACACAGTGCCCCAAGCAATACCCTTCTGGTGGCTTCGGATTTTGCATATCTTTTAATTTTTTTAGGTTGAATTCACAACTCAAGTTACAAAAACTAGGTTAACTTGATACAGTGTTTTTTCCTTAAAAAAATAATTTTAAAATTTAAAATTTAATTAGGTTAACTTGATAGTGTTTTTTTTCTTAAAAAAATAATTTTAAATTTTTAAATTTAAATTTTTTGTTATAAAAATTTAATTTTTTTATTAGTATCTTTTTTTTTCCGTATACAATTTAAATTCTTTATGAAACAAACATATTTTACTAATAAAAAAATGCTTAAACGGTACTAAACGACACTGACGGTTAAAGAGTTCAAAATGTTCGATAAAGTTGAAAACAGCTCTGGGAAAAAGCAATCACCAATAAAAGAGGAAAGCAATAACAGTAGGTCAATAACAATAGGTCCTTACAAACTAATTATAATTAGAAGAAGAAATTGAAAAGGTACAATAAAGTTGTGAACGACAATAGAAGTGGAAACGGACCCTAAGAGTTGAAAACGACGTAATTAAGTTGCGAACGACAATAGAAGTGGAAAGGGACCATAAGAATTGAAAAGGACATAAAAAAAGTTGCAAACAATAACAAAATACCAATACGACAACAAATATGAAACAACTAACTTATAATCGCAAAAAACGACAATAAAACTCTGAAACATGAACATAAGTATCAAACGACTATAAAATATCAAATAACAATAAAACGTTGAAACGACAATGAAAGTTATGAAATGGACAACTAAAACAGGAAAACGAGTAAACGACAATGTAGAATTAGAATAAAAGTTAAAAAAACTGGGAGAAAAAACTACAAACGACGACAAAATGCGAAACGATAACGAAAGGCAGAAATGGACAACAGAAATAAAAGATGGCGGTAACGTGGAATACGACAATGAAACTTGAAAACATTAAAAAAATGCAAGCAACTAAAAAAAACAACAAATGATCGTCTTAGAAGGACAAAACGACAATTATAATTTCAAAAGATAAATTCATCATAAAACAGTAAACACAAATAATGCAACGACAGTAAATTTAGAAAACGACAAAAAAACTCCCACCAGTAAAAGACAAACGACAAAAGGTACAACGAAATAAAACATCAAACGAAAGAAAGCATGACAACAGGTCTTGTTCACTTCGTGAATTCGAGTTGAGATGTGACATTTTTTTAGAGCTTTTTACTGTAGTAAAAAAAGTTAGATGTAACATTTTTTGAGAATTTTTTATTATAGAAACCTAAAATTGAAAACTCAAATCAGTAAAATGAACGAGATATAAGAAAGTTAAATTTGATTTTTTTTTAAAAATACTGTAGTAAAAATTTTAATTATAATTCAAAATAACAAAATAAAGGGGCTCAAGTAAAGCCGCTTTCCAAAAAAAATAAAAATAAAAAAAACAAAAATAGTAGAAAATAGGCTAATATGAAAAGTTTAAGAAAGTATATAGGTCAATTTTTAGTTATAAAAATTAATAGGCCATAACTTGTCAAGTTATGGTTCATAACCAGATAAATTATGGATAAACTTGTTAAGTTATAGTTCATAGTCAGACAAATTATGAATAAAAACTGTGAATTATGGACAATAACTTGTCAAGTTATGATTTATAACCAAACAAGTTATAGATAAAAATAATAATTTAGCATATTTATTAACTTACGTAAACTATTAACCTGTTAATTCATAACCTATTTCTCTCTTTCTCCTTAAAATAAAATGAAAATAAAGCCTCAGAAATAACAATGTGGCTTAAAATAAACGACAACAAAAGAAATAAACAACAGAAAAACTCCAGCAAAAAACAGTCCAAACTCCACAGCCCTGAACCCAAAGGCTTTCGAGTTTTATGTTCCCTTTCCTCAGTAGCGACGGCGGAGGCATCAATCGGAGCCTCTCATCGCCGGTCGTCGGTACGCTTTACTTTCTCTTTCTCACTCACTTCTTTGCATTCCCAGTTTCAGAAGTGAGCTTATTTTAAGTCTTAATATTCCCTGGCTCAACTAGAACGATCTTTTGCGTTATTGGATCTCTTTGGTGTAATGGGTATCCTCGATTTTGGGAATACAAAGTCTCAAAATCTCTATCCGCTTTTAGCTCACTCTCAGCTTCTGGGTTTCTTCGATTCGTTGAGTAGGGCAAAATTTGAGAGATAATGGGTATTAGCCATGAACGTAATCTCTCTTTCTGCTCCGAGCTTGGTTCGGAGAACTTCGTCTTGTCTGATTGTAGTAAGCAAAGTTACTTTGTCTTCCTTAGTAGTAATAAGGAATTTTTGCAATCGAAGTTTCGATGGTGTTAATGGGGAGAATGGTTATGATTGCTTTGAGGAACCCTTGAAGAGAATGTGGAAAAGTTCGTATTTTGATTCAGATATGGATGAACAATCTGACTTTTATTCGCGTGAAATGCCCGCCCGAGGAAATTTCTCCGTGAGGCAGAGCTTTTTCGAGACGGCGAGGATTGATGCCGGAAGAGTTCTGGAAGTTTTGCAGCAAGATGGTCCAGGATTCGATGCGAAACCGGCGTTGGATGAGCTGAACATAAGGGTTTCGGGGCTTCTTGTGAGGAAAGTTCTTTTGGGGATTTTGAGTAACATTAGCCATACGAATAAAATTCGGTGTGCGAAATTAGGGTTCAAGTTCTTCACATGGTCAGGCCAGCAGGGGAATTACAGGCACACCGCGAATTCCTACCATCTGCTAATTAAGATTTTCGCGGAATGTGAGGAGTTTAAGGCAATGTGGAGGCTAGTTGATGAGATGATTGAGAGAGGATTTCCTACTACTGCTAGGACTTTGAACATTTTGATATGTACTTGTGGAGAGGCCGGGTTGGCTAGGAAAGTTGTGGAGAGATTTATTAAGTCGAAGACATTTAACTTTAGGCCGTTTAAACATTCGTACAATGCGATTTTGCACTGCCTTCTTGTGACAAACCAATATAAATTGATTGAGTGGGTGTATCAGCAGATGTTGGCTGATGGTTTCTCCCCAGATATTCTAACTTATAATGTTCTGATGCTTACAAAGTATAGGTTGGGGAAGCTGGATCAGTTCCACAGACTGCTGGATGAAATGGGCAGAAGGGGATTCAGTCCGGATTTGCATACTTATAATATTCTTCTTCATGTACTTGGTAAAGGAGACAAGCCACTTGCAGCTTTAAATCTTTTGAATCACATGAAAGAAACGGGTATTGATCCAGGCGTTCTTCACTTCACCACATTGATAGATGGATTGAGCCGGGCTGGCAATCTGGATGCATGCAGATTTTTCTTTGATGAGATGCCGAAGAATGGGTGTATCCCTGATGTGGTTTGTTACACTGTGATGATCACTGGGTATGTTGTGGCTGGGGAGCTTGAGAAGGCTCAGAGCATATTTGATGAGATGATCACCAAGGGCCAAATTCCAAATGTTTTTACTTACAATTCTATGATCCGTGGGTTATGTATGGCAGGGAAATTTGAGGAGGCATGTTCCATGCTTAAGGACATGGAGTCTAGAGGTTGTAATCCAAATTTTCTTGTTTATACTACCCTAGTGAGTAATTTGCGAAATGCTGGGAAGCTTTCTGAAGCTCATCAAGTAGTAAAACATATGGTGGAGAAGGGGCAGTATGTTCATCTTCTCTCAAAGTTCAAGGGATATAGAAGATGCTAAGGTGGTAGATTTTTTGTTATTGCAGAAAAGTTTCTGGTTTTTCATATCCTGCTAAACCCTCACGGTCTTCCTGCAGCCTATCTGAATGGAATCCATGTATCTGCTGCTTGTGTTGATTGTCGAGTGCAAAGAAGGAAGTATGACTAATTTCATTCTCTACATACTTCTCTTTCATGAAAGATATCTCACATTATGCAGATTTTTACCTATAAAAAGAAACTCGTACCAGCTCAAATTTTATTTTTTCGCATCAATAATATATTTTCATGCTTCATTAGAATCAGTTGGTCCATTGTGCTTTGATATCAAAGTTATGCTCATACAACTTTCTTCATTGCACTATCATATGTGCGCACCATTGTGTTTAATCTTAACTACTTTTGTTGAACATGTAGACTGTAAATTCCGGTCAAACAATAATTTTGCTTTTGGAAAACTAAAGCTATCGTTTAATGTTTTTTGCTCAGGGCATGTTTCCAGATTTCATATTCAGGTTCTCATTACTTTAAAAAATGAGACAAATTCACAAGGGAAAAGGAAAAGGAAACGAGATTATCACGATAATGAGCCTGGACATTTCACATGCAGATGTTGCTGCCACCAAAATCAGAAGCTATGGGACACTATTCCTTGTTGTCATTTTTTTTTTTGGGGTACCGTTGGTCTACTCTGGCAGTTCATATGAAGCATTTGTTCGTGTTCGTGAAGTTAGACGGAATGACATTCTGCGGCTATGTTGTGCATTACTCATAAGCATGTCTTTGGCGGCTGCTGATACACTACCTTTGGAAGTGGCAATTAGTTCCAAACAAGAATTGTACTTCCATAACTACAATGCTCTCAAAAGTTGTGTCTGAGGTTCGTTTAGTTTGCTTTCTATGATGAGCATTTCCCTTGTGTTCCTTTCCATATACAACGTTGTATACCACATATGAAATGAGCTGATTGCTTTGAGCAGTGATATTTCACCTCTTTTTGACGTTTTTGTAGGATGTAGAAGAAGATTATGAAATTCGTTGCTGTTATAGATTAGACTTATTAAACTTAATAAAGTAGAACTTGAATAAAACTTGAACCAAAATATATTTGAAAAGAATACCTTCTATTCTCAGCTATCGTCACCATTATTTTAAGTATCCATGACTTATCTATTTAGTGTTTGTTTGGTTTGGAATCTAGAAACGGCATGCTTGTCTAGAACTGAAGCCATTGTACGAGCCATGCCAGTGATTTCCAGCCAAGCAAAGCAATAAACTAGCTTTTATTTTATTTTATTTTATTTTGAAGTACGGATTTTCTGCATGGGCCATGACATAGTTGGCCTCTGTTGTAGTTGTGGAAGTTCTAATTATAAACACAAATTGGTGAAAGCTTATTAAAGTCTGTTGATTTTCCCATTCCCTTGAATATTTAGGAGGAAAATAACACGTATTCTTAACTTTTGGCTTATAACATGTTCCTCTCCTCAAGCTTGCCACACTTTAAAAGGGAAAAAAAAAA